GTGGACAACTCGGGCCGCATATATCTGCCATATCTGAGCGACTGGAAGGCCAATACGTCGGACCTCTTGGGAGTGATTCAAGTGATGATCTGTGTGTTCGGCGAAACGCCTCCCGTTTACTCGAAGCCCAGGAATGCGCCAAATGTTGGCCAACCATCGGAGCCCGCGTTGCCATACAATACCGGTATTTCTATTTAATTCACTCCACAATGAAATGCACAAAAATGTTAATCACTTTTCAATAAAATCCGTTTTCAAACTGATTGTGATTTTATTGTGCGAAATAGGAGTACCCGTTGTCTATCATAATCCAAACTGTAAGCCATTTATTAAGTGAAACCCCTTAAAGATATTCCCATTTTTTAGTCACAATTTTATGTTTTTTGCTTTTCATTTGGTTTTTTATTAATTTATTTGAATTGATTTTATTTGTTAATATATTTGTCGGTTAACTAACATTAAGTATCGCCAGGTTTTCAGCAAATGCCTCGCGTTGTGAACCCTGCGATGGGTGCGAACCCAACGCCATACCCGACTCAATATCCGGGGCAATATCCTTACCCGAACCCACAGCAGCCCTATATCCCGAGCACAGCGGTCTCGTCCGCCAACCCATACTCCCAACCATATCCACCACAACCTGTTTATACTCAACCAAACACTACACCACAACCGACACCCAATCTGAGTCCGGGCGGGACCGGCACTATCACCGAAGAGCACATCAGGGCTTCGCTTATCAGTTGCGTTGAAGACAAAGTGAAACAGAGATATCGGGAAAAAGAGGCACAATTTCACGCAGAAATGGAAGTCTTAAAGAAAACGAGTAAATCATTTGATTATTTGTGTGTTTTTTATGATTTATAATTAATGTTTGGTTTGCTTTGGTTTTAGGCGAAGATCTAAATAAAGGGAAACAAAAATTAGAGGATATTATGAGACGAATGGAAGACGAAATGATCGAAATAAATGACTCGAAACAAGAATTGAGTGCTAAAAGCGCTCAACTCTCAGAAGTGATCAGTAAATGCGATGACAAAGAAAAAACTGTAGACATCGATGAAGTGTTTGGTCCGACACAACCTCTTTATAAACAATTGTTGAACTCTTTCGCCGAAGAGAACGCTATCGTCGACGCCATCTATTACTTGAGCGAAGCCCTCCGTAAAGGTGTCATTGATTTAGAATTGTTTTTAAAGGTTTGT